TGTAGTTCGTCTCAGTTGCGCAGTCTGTCCTGCGGTTATAATTAAAATACAAACCACTGCGGCGCGTGCTTGGATGGGTTCATGGCTATCCAGCTGTTTGTTGTTTAATAATTTCATTTTATTTCATCGTAAGGCATAAGTGCTTTTCAAGCGTTGATATGCTGATGAAATTGTGGTTATTAAAATAAATGTACATACATATGCTTGCACACTCGTAGAGCGTGTAAAATCACCGCCGGATATCAAGTCGCAGACAGCTCAGCTTAAAAATGTTGGTCGCCCAGCGTCGATAGTGTTATCTGTTAAGTAGACTACATTTTATTTTGCGTATTTGCCCATTGTTGACTGCAATTGTAGGTGTGGCACACACATTCGTAGCAGCCACAAAATATGCGGCCAACTGGTGAATGGAAATTGTGGTGCATGTTGTTGTTCTTGTAGGCTATCTTTAATTTGCTCTCCAAATTGTGCTGCCGGTGGAAAATGAATACTGGCAAACTTTACAAATAGCCTTTAAATCAGTCAGTAATTACTTTTGTATGTTTTAATTGCACAATGCGTTTTTCTTTTACAATTTTATTCATGCTGTCATAGCATTTTACCATAAGCGGTATACATTTTAATCTTCACCATATTCAGCACGTAATTAAAAAAAAAGAAAGAAAACATTACCATTTAAATGCATGCACTTCACTCATTTCACTAGGTTTTTCCGATGCTACAAAATAATTTAATTGCTTGAATTAATTATAGCATCAACTGACAAACTTTCGATTCTCATTACTTCACTACTAATCAGTTGAATAAGATATATAAGCTATTTGTCTTTTAAGCTTTCTTTTTTTGACTTTCATTAAATCTATACTTGTGTTTAAATAAGCCAATTCTTGTATTCATGCTTCAATTCTATACGGGCTCTAATATTTGCAAAATACTGACCCATAGGTGTCATTAATAAGACCAACAACTTTTCGTGAATAACGATAAACAAACTTGCCACAGGACTTGTTGTTGTTATACCCTGTATGCATAAATATATTTAAAATGAGTACATACGATTGTGAAAATATAAGAATCATTCAATCAACCATTCAACAATCTATAACCATAATCTATGGCTACTTTTCTTCCAATATGTTGAATAAATTATAGAAAATCAATGCAACAATACCTACAGGATGTCTACAAGTGAGTCATCCTTTAATGTAGCAACTTTTACAGTACTGTAGTCTCTCACCATAAGCTCAACGGTGTTGTAAAATGTAATCATTGTGGCATGTAATTAGTTTTTGTGTGTACAATCTCCCATAAGCGTATGTAAGCGCAACGTTTGGCCGAGTGTGTAAATGTATAAATAATACATACTACTGTACTACACACCCCCTTCCTTGCTTTCTCCTCCCCCACACACTTCATGCTAATGAAGCTACAGCCGGACATGTGTATAAATACACACACACACACACACATGTGGACACATTTTCCAGTCAATGAGTTATGGGTAACATTTTAAAGGGGTAGATTTAAAAGTGCTGGCAAAATTCTTTTTGACAATAAAATGGCTTTCAGGCAATTTTTTTTATAAAATAAACTCATAAATATTCGCTTTCGAATAAAGTGATATATTTGTTTTTTTAATATTTGAATTGATAATTTTTATCAAATTTGAATTGGAATGTGTATTATGTCCTTACCTGAAATATATATTCAATAAAAATACTATTCAATTGTACAAGCAAAAAAACAACCTTAACTATTCATGTGATTGATTCTATTTCATTTATTCAATTTATTTTAATTGTAGGTCGACCAGCTATATTTAATTTACAGGTATAGCTTTATGGCGAAAACTTTGTCAGCTTAGAAACCAATTGTCATTGATTTAATTCTGTAGTAACTTACCTCGTTTCAATGCGTTTGTAACTAAGCTTTTAGGTGTGGACCCCCATGATGAGTATCCGATTGTGGTTCCAATCCGCGCTCCGCACATTGTATTAGTGATAACAACTTACAAACTATTGTTGTTGGTGTTGTTGCTAATGAAATTGCAACAATCAGTAATCAATTTTCAATTTGAGTTGTGGGTTTGTGTTCCTGCTTTGATTTGCGGTTGAACAGGTCCGAATATCTAAACAGACATTTGGATATAAATACAGTCTATGTATGTATATACATATATATATTTATATATATATAAATAATTTTAGTGTTGTAGTTATGGATCAAATGATTTGCCGGTCTATTTGATGTCGTCAACAGTCCATCAATGTCCTTGCAAATGCCACGCAATTTGTTTGTTCACGCTCCCAATCCACAAATATTGTGAAATTAACTTGTTAAAATAATCGTTGGCCTGCCTGAGTGGCCCAGCTGAACAACTGGCAAGTGATTGGGCGTGGTTGTTGATAAATGGCATTCGATTTATGATATGACGTGTGCCTTTGTTGCGTGCCTTTTGGCCTTATGGGTGTGGACACTGAAACAATGGCTTTAGCTACGCATCGATATTCAAGGTTGTTGTACTCGAAATGTGTCTACTAAAATTTACACATTAAGAATCTGCAATTTGACTTTAAGCTAAAATCAGATAGGTCATTTCGTGCTTTAACTAAGACTCAGCTAGTATTTACACAAGAATTTATTTATTTATTTATATTTAGCTGAAATATATTTAAAGCAGAAAAAAGATTGATTCAGCTATTCGCAATATTTACCGTGCATATCTTTCTGATTATCTTATTGAGATATTATGAATTTTAGATACCTTGGAAGAAACCAAGATATCTAACTAATCAAATAGTTGTGCACATTTTAATTATAATGTCATTAATATACTTGAGTAGATAAGACACTTTAGTAGCCTACATCGTGGCAGTTCAACAACAAGTAAGTAAGTCCACATTTCAATTAAAAACTACACGAAAGCACTTAGCTCCCAGTGTTAACCTATGAAAAGTACAGGAATAGCTACAATATGGTGCAGAGCAAGCCAAACATTTGACCTGGCATTGATTTACTCATTGACCACTTGGCTTTTCTGACATTTGTCCGCTGCACTTTACTGTCTGCCCTAATCTCAAAGCCAATAGGGTCGGCATTTTCCATTTCCTCTTTCGAAATGTTTTTATATATATCCTCATTTTATCACTAAAGTGCTCGCGACGGACATCAAGTGGCATACGCGGCAAGTGAGTTATCTACCATTCTCAGTCCCATGCACTGCTCATCCTCATCCTCAGTAGCATGCTTAACCTCATCCGCATGCTGATGCTTGTGCATTTAAAGTTTAAGTGGCCCAAAATCAGCTCCTGTGGAGCACTGTGTGCAAACTGTAATGCAGCTGTGAAGGACTTCATTTGCAACATCAATCGCAGCATCATCCTGTTGTCTGCCAGCAGCAGCAGTCGTGCTCTCATTACGTTGATGGCAAGCATATGCCAGCAAACGGATGCCATGGAACTGCAGGATGGAGTTGAGCGGGATTCTGGGGTGGAGTTTAATTAGCTTTAATGCGTTAATGCCGGGAATTCGAGCTGTCGTGCGTGGCTGGGCATGTAAAAATGTCAACTGCTACGTAAAAATGCAGTTTTAGCTGGCCTAGTTGACCTAGTTGACCAACTGGATGTGCAGATGCTGAAAGCAGAATGAGATGCAATTTCCGCACGATGACAGCCCATCGTTATCAGTTGCCAGCCGAGCTTATTACAAAAGCTGGGGGTGCTTCATTGCATTCACTGTTCAATTTATTTTAATTTATGTATTTACTATTCCCGGAAATTGAATAGAGTGAAATATCTATGAACCAATTTGGTAAGCATCGGCTCAAATTTCATTTTTAAGCACATCCAATTTTAAACTAATGATTGTGGTGTTTTTCTTTTATTATGCCAATTTCTTTGGATATTACAAATATTAAATTGGTCGACCGGACCTGGCAATCATATGGTCCTGAAAGAATAGCTTGTTAAGTATTAAATCGATTTACTTAACTTCAAGATTTTGCACCTTTAAATTAAAGTTATTGCAAGTACATAAAAACACAACTGATTTTTGTAGATAGCAGTCAAAAGACATTAAGCAATTCATTAAATGCTTCTAACATTTGCCATTAAAACATGGCTAACAAACAACCGTAAATTAAGAATGTATCTATGTCTCGTTGCAGCTCACAACCCCAACATTTTAAAGCCATTCTCCAACTAGATAAACTTCAACAGAAGCGAATAAAAGATATGGTGAACGGGGCTCTCACTATTTATTTGCCCCAAATTGCAATGGGGGCTCAACCTCCCCCACAAAACAAACAAACACAAAAGCACAGAAACGCTGTGAAATTCATTCACACGTAACTGCATTGGGGAAGGAGAGGAACTCTGAAATTCTCGCTGGTTGTTACTTTTGGCTCGGAAAATAAACTTTGCCTCATAACTTCACATTGAAGAAGATGCATATGCAACACGTTCGTGGCGTTCAGTGTTGTACCACCTTCCGGCCTTCGACAAACTTGCAATTCAATGCATCGATATATGTACTTATATATATGGCTTTTTCAAAGTAAATTTCACTTATATACATATAAATACATATATGTATATATATATACATATATACGTTCGTATGTGCAAGATGAGCTGGAACTTTATCTTAAGTGTGCGGGTTTTGCAGCCAAAATACAGTGCTTCAAAGGCATGCGAACCAAACTCTCACTCAACACATGTTGGCTCATTTGAACTGAACTGAACTCATCTCAGTTCAGCTCAGCTGAACGGAAAAGCGTTTTAATTTGTAATTAATATGCACAAGTTTTGGTGATAGTTGGTGATAGCCCGCTATCAATGGATATAGAGATTGTGATAAGTACTTAAGTATTTATTATCTTCATTCATTTTATAATTATTTTAAAATCAACTGCAAGTTATTTTCCATTTTTATTTTTATATTTTAATTATATCTTACATTTAAAAGCCCTAAATTTCAAAATGATTATAATTCTTCCGTCATTCAGAGAAAGCAATACAAAACTAGTACTTTATGTGTTTATTAAATTGTTGTATTCGATTAAAAGCTATATACGTTTAGTATACCATATTTGTCAGTTAAAAAATAATATCGCTTATCGCTTAATCTTTGCTCATTATTGAAATGCTCGTTTAACAATGCTCCCTGATTTTAGTCCAACTGTTCAATTGTGTGCCACATTTAATGCTTATGAGATGTTTATTATGTATTAAAAATAAAGCTGATCTTTGTTCTTACATAGTAATATACTTAAGAGTATGAACAGGATAACTGATGGCCGCTTTTCCTTAGCTTCTAACTACACAATATCATATTTTTTACAGAACATTTCAGCCTACAACGACTCAATCAAACGATTTACGATATGTGTTGGACTCTGCAAAAAATATATATAATTAATTTTAAAAACTAGTATTCGTTGTTATGTCCGCATTTTTAAAATGTTCTTACACATAATATTTATTAAACAACAAGCAAATGGAATTCAACTTCCACTGAAATGACAACTTATTATATGATATGATAAGCAGTTTTCACACAAGTTTTCAATAATGAGCGCCATTCTTTCTAATTATAATGATATTATTTTGTGTACTCATTAAAAGCGATCTAAAACACTTCACTTCGAAGCTATTTTTACATATAATATATCTTGGGTTTTGTTGTGTAAGTATTATTTTGTAGTTGATGAGTTTCTTTAAACTACACTAATAATTTTTCAGATATTTGTTGCTTAGCAAATGATATTCACACTGCAGTCGTATTTGTAATTACATATTTTGAAGCTTTTGAAGCAACATATACAACCTAGCTGCAGCATAATAATAAATCTAACTAAATTGGGTCTCAAAATTGTCTTTGCTTTGTATATGATATAATACCATAGTCTATAAGGAATATTCGATAAACATAAGCGAGCTTATCACAATGCAAAACATATACGAATAACTAGAACTAATTAACAATATTGATATAATTATTATAAATATGAGAACCAGGGACAAGAATATTTAAATTACAAAATAATTTAATATGCAGTAAAATAAAAGAGATTGAAACCAGGCCTAATTTAATTGTGCCATTGTAAAAAGTTTGTAAACCTGGCACATACACAAACATATCTCTAAATGTACAATTTACGGATGCTATTCAAAAACTCCACGAAAACATTTGTGCTGCATCATTGAACCATATGAATCAAATATTGTGTTAACATAAGTATTCCCAGGCTTTTCCACTACCTCCATTACCAACTCAGCTTAGGAAATATGAGTGCGACCTTCCCTTGCCATTCTTGCTTATCACTGCAGCATGACCTGTTTTGAGTAAAATAAAAAAACAAACAAAGCAATTCGATTAATATGTGAATGTATAATTTGAACAGTAATTGAAAACGCACCTGCAGTATCCGAGGCACTAGCCACGCCCATCAGCTTAAGCGATCGAAAGAGCGGACCCAGGTTGGAGCGCCCATCAAGGTATTTGCTTTCCACATTCACAACCGGGGACTTTTTGCTTTTGGTCTGCGTGTGCCAGACGAGAATATCAGTACAGTTATTGCCCCTTGGCTCAATTTGATCGATACGTAGTCCAATGCTACGCAGAAATAGATCCTCCTCGTAGCCCGGCTTGTACGGCATATTTACATTGGGATACTGTGACATGTAGGCCAGGTTCACGGCAAATCCAGCCATGTCAACGGGCCAACGTCGACCAGCCACCCAAGAGTCCAAAAAGGCCACAACTTTACCCTGCCCAGAGCAGAAAGAGGTACGATTAATAAGGTATTCGTATGATTATGATGTGATTATGATTCACTTACATCTCGCACTACCGGGCCGCTGACAGCATAGTCAGCTATCAGTCCAACGGGAAACATGGAGACACGCTGTGTCTGCCTTATTTCCGAGAACAGTCTCAGATCATAAGTATTGTCATCATCACCAAAATACAGTACACCATTTGTGAGATTATGTTGTTGCAGCCAAAGCAGAGCTGCCCGCCGATTTGCCACACCTCTTGGCGCAGGCTTCGATTTACGAAATTTACTGGGCATCGGACTTGCCATATGTGTAAATGGTATGCCTGTAAAATATAAAAAGAAAATCAATATTAATATTTATATTTATCATACCAATAACAATTCGCAAGAACAAAATAAGCTGATGATTGAATAATCCCTTTATTTAATATTTAATAACATTTTAATAAGAGTTTTCTTATCTTCACATAAGAAATCAAGTCTAGGCTTCCGCAAGGTTTCCCTGTTTCTCTGATTACAAGAATCGTATTCGGTTTCGTTGGATGAATAAATAACTATCAAAATACATTTAACATTAAACCTAAACGATAAGCGGAAATATTTGTCATAAATTTATTTCAAAGAAGAGATTTGTAAAAGCTGACGGCTAGATAACAAAATGCAATAGATTATATACAATAATAATAATAAAAAAAAAATATTTTAATAAAATATATTATATATATTAGCTACTTTTCGTTTAATTACTAAATCATGCCAAAGGAGAAGTTGTATTTAAATACTCTACATCGTTTTAATAGTTGTTTATTGTGATTGCACGTACCAAATCCACTCAGCAGTGTATCCAGAAACGTATCACATTTCTCCTGATCATTGGCCACCAGCCAATGGAGACGAGGCACATGGAGCAGCGTGTACGCCAGACGCGTCAGTTCCGGTATTTGCTCGCGTCTGGGATAAGTTGGTGTTACGAAATAAATAATAGGCAGCTGGGCATAGGCAATCCGCGGCTTATCTTGTATATAGAGACGATGATCGTCACTGCTATCGCTGCATATGAGAAGCGGCTCATTCAGAGCGTGTGCAGTTGTACCATCTGAAATATAACAGATCGATTATAGTTAGTAAATATTTTGTGGGCCAGCCTAAAAGTAGGCAAGACATCAATGAGTGGAACCTTGTTATATTTTTGGCCCCTTTGCCGAGGCCACTGGCCACGAATAAACAGCTTATGATACAAAATTAGCACAACACTTTGAAAGTGGCTTTCGGTTAGCACTCAAATATTTTGTCATACTTAAGAAGTACATATGATTACAAGTCGGGCAGATTAGTACCAACACCATATTCGCTGCCAGCTATTTATAATAATATCTAATTGGCTGCATGAATAATAGAATTGGCTACGCCCAGCCATTCACACTATATATATATATTGCATTTATTTATAGGCATATTCATTAGCTGATGCCATTAACACTTAAAATAATAATGTTAAGTACGTGCTTATGCGATTATTTCACACTCCAAAGCACATCTCCTTCTCCGTGATATGAGGCAAATAATTCTTGTTGCTGTTAATCTGTTATGTGATTAGCTTCAAATGCCACCAACATGAATATAATATTTGAATAATGATGTAATGGCTCAGAAATTCGACATTTCGTACACTTTCATAGAGTGGGGATAAAGAGATTTTAATCACTGAATATTTGTACTAGAGACCCCTAGTTACTCATTTAAATGATCTTTTTGTTTTAATGCAGTGTTATTTATTTAACGAATGAAATAGATCGAACAACAAGCTATCAAAAACATTCAAATAAGACGACTCTGTGAAACCAGACATATAGCAAACACAAAAACTAACTCAAAAACGAGCCTAAAAGTCAATTTGATCAGTCAAAGAAAAACCTGAAATGAGAGTTTCATTTGCGTTAATTTTATCGTTCAACTCAAAGATATTCGATTGAATCATCAAATATCAAACAACAACAAAACCAATTCAATTACGTAATGGAATGTCCCATAGGGAATAATATAGTATGCATATTAATTCTTCTGTCTTGCCTACATTTGATGTAAATTAGCGCTAATGTGTTTTTCAATCTGCCACAACGACAACGAAAAAAAAAAAAAATAGAAGGAAAAACCCATTAAAAACATCCCTTGCTGCCGCAAACACGCAAGCTAGAGGAAATCGACGCACTGGAACCGCCCAAAAAACTAGATATGTGGGCGCCGATAAGTTTCACATGTGCATTAACGGTAATAGGAATAATTGTTTGGCTTGGTGCCCATCTATCAGTATTGAGCCCACAAATTACACAGACCGGCAACTCAGGCAGCTCAATTTAATAACTAATTATATATTGACTTGTCCCATGAGACGCAACAAAGGCAAACAGCGCCGCCTAAAAAAAAAGGGGACTGGCACACATACATTATCTGGCTTTTCATGGAACACAAGCCCGTCCTCAAGTTAAGTGTTTGCACTCATGCTTACGCTTGGGGGCCCCAATATAAAATCATATAAAGTACTGGGACTTCAGTATTTCAGCATATTGCAACAATTACTTCAAAACCACAATGTGGGCGAATTTTATATGTACATATTTGTAGTAAGGTTGGTCGTCAAACAACTGATAAGCTACTTTATCAGGGTCTCGATAGCAATCACAACAAACAAATTATACCTGCTGGTTTTCAATTAGGGTGATTGGACCTTCACTCAGAAAAACCAAGCCTTATTTTAACAATTCACTATACTGTTAACGCCAAGATAATTAATTTTATTATTCAGAAAGCTATCTTCAAACCATCGTTTTTCTTTTCTTGATAGACAACATTTTAAATGTATTTCTGAAAAATACAAAGAAAAAGCTTTTCGAATTTTAAGATTTTTTTTTTAATTTTAGATGCTTATCTAAGATTTACGACGATTTTTTTCTGAGTGTATGAGGGTTCCGCCACACGACAAGAGCGAGTGCCGCCTTGTTGATAACAGTGATTTGCTGCCATTGGCTAGACATCAAAATTTGGATTAATGAATTATTTATTGCAATCATTCAATATATGATTCACGTGCTTTACAAAATTCTGAACTCTACACAAAATGTTTTAACTTTTGTGAGTCACGCTTGGCTGCGCCTTTGCGATAAGCTGTTTTTTGCGAAAACATTCAGTCAACCCACTCAATACAAGCCACAACATGTTATAAAATATGAAAAAAGTAATCGCCATTCGTACTAAGTTATTCATAGATTTACTCCGGAAGTCCGTTAGTGGGCTTCTATTATAGCTAATATATGATTTTTAAGCACGTGTAATTCCCATTAGCTAGCCTAATCGCGTGTAGTGTAAATTTGAAGCTTTAGTTCAGGCCAAATGACTGGACAATTACAAATGTACAAATGTTGCACATTTGAGAATCTCAAATATGTATACAGGCAATTCCGAGTCAATTGAAGGCCGTGGCATGTCCAAAGTGCATAAGCTGACAGCTTGTTGTTAAAACAACAATAGCAACGACAAAATGCCACGCTAAGCGTTATTGTTTGTGTTGTAAGTCGACCCACAACCGTTTGGGGGCTAATAATAATGCAAAAAATCAGATTTAAGCAAAGCTCAGAATTGCCAAAACGTCAGCTAAGCACTGCGAGCAACAGACTCAAAATGTTTTCGGAGACAATGCAAATATAAACTGACTAGGTATATGCAATGAGGCAGTTGCAGTTGGGAAAGCTTATAAATTTTAATTAACTGGTCGCTTTAAAATAACAAACTATTCACAGAAAACTGCAATTAAGTCGTGTGTGTGTGTGTGTGTGTGGAGAACTGTTAGAAGCGACAGTTTTCATTCTTAATTGAGGTACTGCACGCTGAGCTCACATTAAATAATATGTGCAACTTAACCCTCTGGTGCCCAAGACTGCATTTAGGCAGGCTATGCCTATTTTCGCGCTTATTCGCTTGTTTTGTAAGACCTACAAATGTGTGACAAAAACTTATTTTTTTTGGCATTCTAAATTGCGACTAGTTTGATTATATTTTTTTAATATTTTTAGTTAACACTTTTTGCAAAATAAATATTTTTTCTGACTTTCACCAATTCTCAACTTCACATGAGTGTGACAGCCATATTATGTATCAGTTGGTGTTCCCCGATGTCCAAAAACAAAAAAGCAGCGAAATAAAAATTGGTAAGCCAATAAGCAGAAAATAAACGCAGGCAATCTTGGGCACTACAGGGTTAATACAAACCAAGAATAACCTGATAATATGGTTTTTTTTATGACATAACATATATGCTGTTTGAAATAATTTGTATTGAGTTGACTAACAATCGGTTTTTTTTTTATATATATAAACTGGGTTCTTTTAAGCGCATAAATCTGTTACATATGCCAATCTAAACTACAACCAAATTTAAAGTGACACATGTTAAAGAATACTGTTTGAAACGTTGCCCTTTTTTCAGTTGTTATTTTTGCCTTTCAAATTTGGTTCAGCATTATTTTTCGGCAAAAGTCTCCAAAGAATTCGAAATTTAAGACCATTATTAAATGAATTTTAAATTGACAGAACACTTGTAAGTTCAAAATGCTTACAACATTTCTGGATATGATTTATGGCTTAGGCAAACATTTGTAAAATATATTTTGTATATATTTCACTGCCAGTTGCGCCATATACCAATAGAATTATTAGTTTTAATGGATCATTTGAAATTATAAACAGACGGCGCCCACATCAAAAACGTGTTTCTGATTCGCATTCGCGTGCTGATGCACCGCCATGAACGGGGATATCGATCGATATGTGACACGGGCTGCCACAACAAATGGCTGCAACCGTTGGCGAAATTATCAAATGAATAACGTATAATGCATAAGAAATTAAAAGCAAAGAGCCGGAAAATGTGGCCTTGGCATGCAGCGTAACTGGAAATGTTGCGGCTATCAAAACGCACGAAGAGTTGCGGAATGATGAATAGAGGGTGCGGGCGGGTATCGATAAAATACAGAGACAATGAATGCTTTGCAAATTAAGCCAATTACGGCTAAATAATAAATAGTAACAAGCCTGCCAACAACAGCAACAACAACAACAACAGCTACTAAACCAACTAGCCCAAGTAGCGAAACGAACCCGTCAACAAAACATGCAATGATTGCCGCAACACTTTGGGGCCTAAGCAACGGGTGGAATGATGGTTGGTGGTGGGCTGGCGGTGACTGCTAGAAATTGAAAACTACGCGTAATAGTAACATATAGATAGCGATAGTGATAGATAGATGTAGAGAGAAGGAGAGTGTGTGTGTGTGTGTGTGTGTGTGTGTCTGCGTGTGCAAGGCTCTCGAGTGTCGAGTGTCGAGTGTTTGCTCGTTAGCTAGTTGGTTAGTTGACTTGTCTATCTGTATAAAAATAAGTCTCTCATCTAAAAAGCTATATTGATGAAAATTTTGGCATAACCGTATTTTCCCAGTCGGTTGTACATATAAAAAATGTTTTTCAAATGGTCTTCAAATCACAAAGAATGCAATTTAATACAAATACACTTTATACTATGCATGACGGAGAGGGTATTAAATCTTCGCTGTCCCAAATTATCTATTATAACCGTTGTTTCTTCAATAGTCATCGTTTTGAAATTTTTAATTTATTGATAAGAAATTTAATTGGATGGCAAATGAGAAAGCAACAACAGTTAAGTTTACTTGGCCAATAAAGTTCTTTGTCTGAATTCATAAACATTCATATATAGTGAGGTATTTATAAATGTGCAAACTCTAAAGCATGTGGAAATATTTATAAATTATATTGCCAACTCTACTGGAAAATCAACGCAGCGCAAAATGTGTGTTGAGTAGCGCACTTCAAAAGTGAAAGTCTTGGTGTAAATTCACTTTCAAACACTTGGCAAGCTGCAACGCTGCATTAATCGTTAGGCGAGTGCGATAGGAAGGAGAGAGAGAGAGAGAGAGAGACAGAGAGAGAGAGAGAGAGACAGAGAGAGAGAGAGAGACAGAGAGAGGAGGGAGAGCAAAAAACAGAGAGAGGGAGAAAGAGAGGTAGACCTATTCAATTATTTTGGTGAAATCGAGAATGGATTCCAAATCGAGAATGAAGTATGCAGAGAGTAGATGAAGCTTACATAAGATTCCAGATTTGAATGAATGGTCTTGAAGGAACTCCCTCAGCTCTAAGATTTGTTCTTGATGCCGCCGCTTACCTATGCCGTTGTGCGGTTCAAAATTATTCGCATCATCATCGTCCCCGTCGCCGCCAGCCTGGCCCAGCAGCAGCGGTGAACTGAACACGAAATAGCAGACAATGAAGAGGGGCACAACGAGCAGCATCCAATAGCGCCGTCTGCTCAATCGTGGCGCCATCCCACGCCCAGGGGTCGGCAGCCTATCCTCCCACCCGCTGGACGTTGCAAGCTGTTTGTGGTAGCGTGCGTGATTATGACTACTGCTGGACGGTTGCAGATTGGCTGCCCAGTGGACAACGAGCTCCTCCTCGTCGTTGTCGTTGTCGTCTGATGCTTGCGGTTCGACTGCGAGTGCTTGGTAGTGGGCACTAGGCATTGTGTGGCCGGTTCAGCTCCACAATTTCACCACGGTAACTGTAATTGTGAGTGCTGCAACTGCAACTGCTGCAACAGTGGCAGCTGGTGGTTCAGACGCAGACGACAGAGATGACGACAGCGCCGGGCAGAGTTTGCCATTTGTGGAGCAGCGCGCTTTTTTTTTTGAGACTCGTTTTTGTTTTTGTTTTTCTTTTTATTTGTTGATGATTTCTTAATTTGCTTGCTCCGTTTTGCTCTTTATTTTTATTTGTTTATTTGTTTTTTTTTCTATCGTGCGTTATACAATTGGGGAAGGTGATATGCCATTGCTTTATATATATAAATATTACTGTTATTATTATTATTATTATTATATGCGAATTGTCGCCAGACGCAGTGTGAAAAACCCGAGAAAGACGCACACACCTAGAAACTGACACAGACAAGCACGTACTCAAAGAGAGAATATTGCGTGCTTTTTATTATTCCTATTTTCTTTTTCTTTTTTTGCTACAACAAAAAAAGTGTTGCTTAATATTAATTCTATTATTATTTATTTCGGCTCTTATTCTATTTGCTTTTTGTTGTTGTCGCGATGAGTTTGACAGCAGCACTGACGGCATACAGGCCACTTTTGTCAGAGAGCGCACTCAACTCTGAACTGAACTGAACCACCTCTCTCTCTTTCTCTCTCTCTATCTCTCTCTCTCTCTCGCTCGCACACGCGCCGCACAACTCAGCCGCACTCACCACCACCAGCTGCTGCTGGCACAGAGTTGCTTTGATTCGCAGCATATATATTTGGTTGGTGTCTTTGCTAAGTTAAAATTGGATTTTCGCCTTTTTAATTACTAACGGCTCACATAGAGAAATTGTGAATTTGTCTTTCAATTTGTCATTTTAAAAACATTTTTTGAACATAATTCAACTGCGCCCTGCATTTACAAAGAAACGGAATAGCATTTTGGCTAGTTTGCAAAAATCTTTTAATAATGATTGAAGTCATTTATATATAAGATGTCTGCCACAAAAGAAATATATTTGTTTATTTTTAAATTTTTTTTCTATCAGCTTATGGAGCGCAATCTTTATATGATGAAACTGTACTAAGTATAGAAAATAGCGAAATGAGAATGTGTTTTAGATTTATTTATTTGATTTGCTTCTGTTTGCTGTTTTCGAAAACTGTTTACAATGCATTTGCGTTACAAAAAGAGCCCTTCTTAAGTAATTAGTTAATTAGGCAAAACAATTTAATTTAGTTATATTAAAAGCCACATGTGTATCTCATTTCTTAATGTTGCGCTGCCAAGTGCTTATTGCCGCTTAACACAAACAATAATAAAAGACGGGGGAAAAACCATTGTGCAAAATTGATTCGATTGATTGCATGTAGTTTGAGGACACACATCACTTGCAAACGTTGCACTTATGGAATAGTACATTATTATCAACTAAACGGTATGAAGAAAACGAATTGTCCCCTTCCGGGATCGCATTGCAATCCATCGATGAAGCGACATTGAGGCCAAAGTGTTTTTAGATATTGCGCAGCATTTTGCTTAGAGGAGCCTCTTAATGGTGTCGGCCAACTTGGTCGCATTGGCGCCGGCGAACTCCTCCACCTTGTTGGAGTTCTTGATGAACAGGAACGTGGGCATGCTGGAAATATTGTACTCCATGGCAATGTCTTCGCATTCGTCCACATCAACCTGCAATCAAGAAGTGAGTTATTAGTTGATTTTATCATTGGACTGAATACGAATTTGGACCCACCTTGAGCACAACAAGTTGTTCGGTATATTGCTGAGCGAGCTCCTCCAGTTTGGGGGAAATCATCCTGCAGGGTCCACACCAGGTGGCAAAGAAGTCCACAACGACCAGCTTGTCGCCGGCATTCGTCAGCTGAGTCTTCAAGTCGTTCTGTAAAAGTTACAAATATTTTTATACGATTAGAATAATTAAATTTCTAATGATTTTTTGTTAAGCTGATGCCCTAATTACATAATTTTATCAGGTTATTTAACAAGTTGTATGCGCTCTTTAGACATTGTTTCAATGTCCACAGATATTTATTTACAGTTTGCAGTCTATCGATTTGCTTTTGGCAACGAATGGAGCACGTTCGCCTTATCAGTTAAAGGGGATGGGGGTGATGTGCTGGAGGGGGTCTAACATACAAGTGTGATAAGCGCAACAACAACTTTATGGACTTAGCAGTAAGCGTGCTTTGAGCAAACAGCTCTGTTTGCGCCATATGCATGTAAATATGTATATATATATATATATATTTATATATATAAATATATACGATTATGTAGTTGAACTATTTCTGCCACATGTCAATCACTAATTATATATATATATAATTTAACTAGCTGTGACAGTTGCCAACCCATTTCAAACGTTTTTGCAATTTAATAATATATTATTTTCATTAACTTCTACTTAAATGCCGTCCTCATCCTCCGCCTCCGCCACATCCACGTTCTCAATCTATGTGGAGTGCTCGACTGGGCCATTTACTTAATTACTTAATCGAAAACGTGTCTCATTTGGATTCGAGTCGACTTGACCTGAACTTAACTTTTGACACGCCTCGAACAAAAGTGTAAAAATTCAACTCATTACACTTGCCTTGTTTCACAATTATACACATTTTTGAGTTGAATATTTTTAGCTATTTACTTTATAAAATGGCATTTTATTACACTTCATTCCAATGCTTATACATTATTTTTATTGGTGTGCTTTTATTTAGGTCAAGCTGAATGAAAATATATTACATAATTCAATTCATTGACGCCTTTTAGCTGTAAATTACAAGCTCACAGATTTATAAAATATATAGATTTATGTTAAACATATTGAATTCGCTAAAAAAAAAATATAAAAAATACTTGAAATTATGACATTAGCAGCGCACGCAAATCAATATTCATAACCCTGGAGGCGTCTACGAACTAGCTGTACTTTCACATTAATAATATTTGTGACTTGCTGGGGTATTGTCGAGAAGGAACTGTCCCTGGTCTGTCCCTGGTAAGCCAGTGGTCACCTTCCATCAGGCTGACCTTTCATTAATTGTAGTCATTTTCCGCACGACACATTTGTGTTGGTCATTTTACTCGTTGTACTCGTTGATAAAATTGCTCGAAATTGGCTTTGGCTAAAACTAGTTCAGTTAAATACGAACAGTTAGCGCCAGAAATGAATGCCCTTAGCTGCCTTCAACATTTGGAACCGACTTGATTATTGATCAGATTAGTAATCAAATGATTGTTTGCCAAGCTTAAATACTTTGAAACCTGTTTCGCCCATGTCAAGTTTATTCTTTCTTTGCATAGTCAGTTTCATTTGAAATAAGCCACCATAATAGATGAAATTAAGCTTAGCAGATGAGTCATTCTCTGGTATTTTACTCACACCAACACAATTTACATATCTGATTCATGGACTGCAACTTTTAATCACAAAATAACTCCACAACCGGATTTTATTTCACTTATCAATCATCTTTCCAGAAATTTCTGTAACCTGTACTGAAGAATTCATGGCGATTCTACAAAAATCATTTCGTATTTATGTTTTAAATTTAAATAGTGTGTCAAAACCGCTGCTTATCTAAATATTTTTATAGCAATTTTTGGTTGCAATACAATTATTATTTGTGTTGTATTTTTTAATTTCTGCAATTTTGTATCATTAATCGCATCAAATCAAAATGGTCCCAAATGGTGTTTTTATTTTTACACACATACATATTTCACAAGGCATCTGTTGCCAAATAAAAAAAAGAATAAAAAATTATTTTGTTCGTTAATAATTTTTTCTTTTAAATGCCTCCCTCTCTCTCTCTCTCCCTCATGACGTCACAAGTTAGATGACAAGTCTTTAGACACACTTAACAACAAGTTCAAAATATATATACATATATATGCATATTATAACATACATAAACTGACGCAATATCTATTTAATTATTTATTTTTTAAGCAAAACAAAGTGTTGGTATTTTGTTTTGTATTTAGCTGCAAATATCAAACGATTTAAACCGGTTTTGAGACCGAGTCGCCCGCCAAAACGATGTGTAATCGCATTAGTGGGTAACAGGAGTAAACGGGGGTTGTGGGTATGGGTTAGGGGGTGACCAACAACACCCTGTGTGGTGTCTAACCGCAAAGTAAAGGCAAGCCTGCTGATAATGAAATAGCAAACTCATTATAATAAAATGGATGGTTCGACTCTGTCTAGCAAATACTAGAACCAGAATACGCTAATGGCATGGTAAGTCGACACATACATATATATTTGATTATATTAATTGGTCAAGCTCTTCCGCTGTGTGGCAGTATCTTGCGGAACGTATCTAAAACGCGTAAAAAGTTGCCACTTTCTGTGGCGATGGTTTTTTTGGGCGAACATCGATAGAGATGTTGATGATATCATTGTTATATACTGGTTTTCTCTACAATGTATCTCTGTCGCCAACACAGCAGGGCAAAGCAGACACTATTTTTTACTACATATCGATATACGGACATACATTCATCCAAACGTATAATATTATGTCGAAAGCGTATGGCACTTGAGGCAAGGCACACAGAAATTTAACAGAATATGTGGTGTGTGTGTGGGAAATATGCATAAGTATTTTGGGGTTGTTCACTTTTTTTGTCACATTTATTACTTAACCTGATAACACACACACACACACACGGGCAATGCACAAATGCATAAAACAATGTTAGCTTAACTGCAGCATACTCACCGAGTCTTTCACAGCGTACACCATTTTGTATGTGGCTTTTGGGGGTTAAGTAAAGTACAACCGGTAAAATATGATAAAGTTCACTTAATTAACGGACAGGCGAATAGCACACGCAACCAGCTCGTGGAATAATAACCTAGTGAATGCCAACGCTCACCACCGCTGCCATATATCAGCCATCGAACTCACCACTCTCACATAGAGCGCCTGAGAGACCACAACGTTGTGTGTGCGTGGTGAATTGAGTGTATGATGTAAATTCATTTATAGGAACAAATTTAGATTTACTTTACATCATTTATGCTAATTTTTGCTAAATATTTGTACTGGTTATATTTTATTTATATTAAATACTTTTTTTCAGATATTTATTTTCAAATGCAACACTGTTTTATCGCGCTTATGCATAACAGACGGCGCTGCGCATGTGTGGGTGTTGCTCACTTACAACAGATGGCGCCAGTTGGAGTTATAATTAGTTACTCAATTTGAAACTCTCAATTAAGTTCTTCACTTGGGATATCTTTAGTTGTAATCATTGAATAATTTGTAAAAGGCTGAGTAAGCATTTCAATTAATTATTTCATGGTAATATTTCATTAATGTAATTTGAGCTTACGTTCTGGGATAAATAATTTGTCAGACACCACAATTTCAAATCAACATTTTTATAATTTATTTCTTCAAAATAAAACAATAAGAAACTACACAACGCTACACATTGAAATTAAGATTTCAAAACTAAACGTAAACTAAATACTAAGAACTATGAGTAATGTGTTGAAGTGCCGTTAATTAAGTACTATAAATTTCTATCAGTGAGCTGCGTGGGCTGATTGCGCCACCTGTGAGTGATGCAAATGATGATGATGATGATGGTGGTACGTCAACGTGGGTGTAGGTGGAGCCACTGCAGTTGGCCCGACAGCGCTTACAACAGCGCCCCCTGTGGCGGTATAGCCATTCGCTGCCGCCATCTGTTGCTCATAGTTCGCATAGTGATCGTAGTAGCTGCCATAGCTACCGAGATCGAGACCCGTGCTGGAGTTCACACCAGTACCGCTGCCATTGCTTGGCGCTGTTGTGCCCGTGTCAAAGTAACTGACGCCATTATAACCATTGGCGCTCTCATAGTAGTGTCCGTGGCCGGCAACATTGACAGCGCTCGCTGCGAACTGTTGCTGAAGCTCGTAGTCCGATTTGGACTCCCGATTGTAGTAGTAGTCGTAGTTGTCCTCATAACCCGCAACCGGTTGCGTCTCCACGGTCGCATTGTACTTAATGGTGGGTGTCGTTTCACTTTTGCAGTTATGTTCGGTTCCGGCTGCAGTTGCGTTGCCATTTGCGCCGCCCAAATGCTTTATCTGTGAGTAGTTTATAAATTCCGGTTCCGGCGTGGCTAGCTGTGAGCTGGAATCGTACGCCAGCTGGCAGCTGCTATTGGCGATGCCATTGCCGTAGCTAGACTGATTGGCCGGAGTGTTCAGTGCGGGCTGATAGGCCAGCTCCGACATGCAAGTGTACGGCAAACTGGGCGATTTGTTTGGCGCAGCAGTTGCCGCAGCCGGAGTTGCATGATAGATAGGATAGTTGTAGGTAATGTGCTGATGATTCACCGTGAACACATTCGCCGAGCTCTCGCAGGGCGTGGTTGGTTCCGTGGCTGCTACCAGTGGCCAGGAGTTGCTCATATAGTTGGACGACTGGCTCAACTGATGGGCGCGTGTGGTGTCCTCCAAATAGCTACAAGTGCAGTGGCTATAAGTGGTGCACTTGCCACAGCCTGTCAAGGTAATAAATTAGAGTAAAATTCTCTCGTAAAAAACATTTAATTTACCATTAAACTGATATATTTCCAATGCTGCTTGACTGAGTGGATTGGTAGCAGCTGGACGCTTCAGCACCTTGCCCCCAAGATTCTGTTGCTGCTGGGAATAATCACATAATAAGTTTATAACATATATTTCTAAATATACAGTTTCTTGGCTTATCAAATTATAACACTTTAAACTTTTAAAAATACGATAAAATACTGTCCACATCTCTTATGAAAAAAATCAGATGAAGTTTTCTTCTGTAGGTTTAAAAATTCTGATTTTAATTAAAAATTAAAACAAAACAGTCAAGAAATTATTGGCAAGTTCAAAGCAGATTCGAAAGGGAAATGTCATCTAGATCATAATTTACAACTCATAGTTATGGAGTACAGTGTATGTTGATGAACCCACCTTTGCCTGCTTAACCAAACCGGCAATGACCGACTTCTTGTGCGCCCTAACCGATGTTGTTGCCGACTTGCTGGCCGTGAGGGAGACACGGCCAAATGCACGCTTCGAGACGCTGGAGTTCTTGGGATCGGGTCGCAGATGATCGTGCACGCCCTTGGCCTGAAAGAAGATGGCATTGTTCGAGTGCCGCCAGAAATGGGTCACGGGATAGCCGCAGTGACCGCGACAAGGCTTGATCTCCAGCCGGCCGCCGCGGCAACTCTTGTTGGGGCACTGTTTGCCCTCCTGCTTGCGTCGCGCCTTATCGCAAATGGCCGGTCTCAGATTGATCTTGGTGCCGTTGGGCAGCGTGCAGTGCTGCGAGCAGACCAGCACACCCAGGCAACTCTTCTTCAGTATGTTGACATTGTGATTGTTTGTGTTGCGCATCGCCCAGCCGGAGATATGCTTCTTCGCCTCCTCGTTGTGCACCGAGTAGATCAGACGCACATGCCCATCGCTCCACTCGCTGAACTCATCGAACTCAATGTCGGCCACCTGTGGCACAATTGCATCATTGATGTCCCAATCCCGTTTGCTCTTCTGCGTCGTCATCGAACTGGACGCTGTCTGTTGCAAATGTTGTTGCGTCTCTTGTTGATGCTGTGGGTGCTGATGCTGATGTTGATGTTGATGTGGATGTGGATGCTGATGCGGATGCGGCTGATTCCCCTGTAGCTGAGTGTGCTGCTCTGGTTGTGAGAGTTGTTGGTAGTGTGCTTTGAAAGTGTAGCCATTTCTGTAAGTGATTAACATCTCTTTAATAAGGTATTAATCTAGTACGTAGTAGTTAGTATGACTTTAGGTGAAAAGTATTAATTTATTTGAAAAAATGTATAGATATTTATATGATTATATAAAAGTAAAATTAAGAATAAAATGAACTTAATAAACTATTTGATAATATAGATAATGAATATATCATTTAAGTCAATATTTTATATCGAATCCAAGACTTGTTTTATGTAATCATTCTTGCATTTATGGTTTTATTAAACTTAATATTTACGAAATAGAGCACTTTCAGCAAAGGTCTACGACACTTTCTATTTCAACTTATGAATTTAAATGCTAATCATGCCGATAGATAGTTATAGATAATTGTATAAATTTTTGAATAGACATATAGATTGATGTATTGGTTTGAATATATATCTAATCAGTTAAGAAACCAATTTTAAGAAAAATGTGTGATTTTATATTATTTTTTTCTTGTCAATTCGTATTCTATTTATTTTACACTTGGTATTCTATTTCTAGAAGAGTTGGCTTTGAACTCTACATTATTATACACTTGTTATTTCTTGTTCATTTGTTATTTATGGGTGGCTTTGTTCTTCTATTTTAACTGCTTAGTTTAGCCCATCATTAATTTAAACGAGAGCAATCAGCAGAGACATTTAAGAATGCTTTCTAAGTCAGCTTTAGCTGTATTCAAATGCAATGCGGGTAACCTGAGGTCTTATCTGGACTACCCTTAAGCTTAAGCTTAAGCTCAAGCACTTTACTTTTAAATTGTTGATAATTAAGTCTAAGGTGCTCTTGCGTTACTCACACTAAAATCATGACTTTTCTTTAACTTTAGTTTAAATGATCGAAATGTTTATGGGAGATTCTATCTTAATTACATTTGTAAACGTTGCTGAGCAGAACTTTATGATATCGTCTGCGTTGCGTGGGTTCCGATACAATCAAATGAAATGTTTTGATTTTATGCGTGTCGGGGAACGCATAACTCTTACGCTTAAGCGTCACATTAAACTGACAGCTAAGACAGCTGGTACCGTTAGCACTAGCCCAGTTAACCCGCCCAAGTGGGGCAAGACGATGCCCCTTCTTCAATCGTAATATGAGCGCCAGCCTACAAAATTATTGGCACTTAAAGCGCCGGCGCTGACTCATCAACAGATCAACTCTTACAGACAGACAGCGAGAGAGATATATAGAGAGAGAGATAGAGAGAGAGAGACTCCAACTCGTCTCTCAATGGGGCAGCTATAAATATATATATAAGTACATATGTGTGTGTGGGAGACTCACGTTTAGATTTATGCATCAAACGTTTAGTGGGCCTCTCGCTCAACAATTAGCAATAAATTTGTCGATGCAACGCAAAGCGTCGCATTGCTGCTCATTAGAGGGGCGCCCTGTGGCCTCGGCCCTATAAGGCCAAAAGAGGCATAGAACTGATTTGTTCTTTTTTTATGTGTACCGAGAAGTCAGCAGCAGGCCGCTCCTTGGCCCAACTGGGCTCTAATAAGCTGATACCTGATCGAGCGGCCGCTTGGTGGTCCGCGTTGAACCTGTTCTGTTTCATGTTTGTTGTTTGTTGCTTGTTGCTTGTCGGTTGTCGCTTTGTTTTGGGTTCGTAAATTGACTGCTTGACACTTCGTAGCGCTTATCTGATGTTGATAGCGTCACATCGTTGTTTTTGGTGGCTGTGTCATGGTTCTGTACAACTCAATTCGATGCTGCCTATAATAACTTTGTCACCTACAAAATATATGCCTATATTCTTGTATCTCAACTTCGACCCTTTCACTGGTCACAGTCAGCCCCCGCGTTGGGCCCCCGGCCCTAGGTATGTGTGTGGTCGTTCCCCGCGGCTTTTTTCGAGTGCCATTAAACTAGTCTCTCTCTCTCCCTTTCTCTCACACACTCTCCCTCTCTATTACTCTGTGTGTCCCTCTCTCTTTCTCTTAGTCTGTGGTCCCAGGGCCGCTCAGCATGATAATAAAGCGCTCGAAATAATTTGAATAATTTTGTGCTTAAGACGTTGTTTTTTTCTTATTATTATTGTGCTTTTTTCTCAATTCTCTTTTACATAACTATTTTTTTGCGCGTATCAATTTATTGTTTGGACTCCAGTCTTATCTTGGCAATTCGAAACTAGCTCGAAATCAGGCGGATAAAAGTTATGTTTGTTCTTTGGAGCACTTACGCAATATCATTTTTGCAATATTTCTTTGCCATAGATGAAATGTCTTTGACCATTACAGTTGCCATAAGAAATGCACAACTACAAAAACTCGAATTACTTGAAATATTTAAGAGTATTCCATCTTCGGCGTACTGTTTTTCTACTTTTCCAATTTTACTGCCTTTTTCGTACATTAATTATTTTTGATAAAGATAAAGACTTTTATGTCGTCAATGGAATAAATCTTCAATAAGTAGAAGAAGAGCAATATACATAAATAGTGTTAAAGTATGAAAAAGAAAAAAACCAATCAATACATTAACTTTTAGATTCTCAATAATTTCACACAAAATGTTTAACATTGCTCAGCTTGAGTCAAAATATTTCAGCCCATAACAAATTCTTGTGAAAGTAATTGTAGCATTCATTTATTTATAAACTGATAAATACATGATTTACTTATTTTTTCAAATAATTATTAATTTTGCGATAGCGAAATTTATTATTGGAAGAAACCATTTTATATATTTTTACTTCTTCAATTTATTTGCACCCGCACCAAACAAATTACTTAACCACAATTATGTATTTGTTTCCAAATATAAAATGATGTACATTTTACCAATCCTTTCAGAGATTAAATTCTCTGAAAATGCACTAAATCAAATAAATATTGTATAAAAGAAATTGATCAAAATTAAAATGTTTGGTTTGATTCGACTTATAAAAAGAAGGATTCATTTGATTTGATCTCGATTTTCTGCTTAAATTTTAAGTTTGACAGATTTTACTTCTGCGAATTCGGTTGGTATGAAAATATCTCCATATAAACTGTGTACATAAGTATATATGTTTTATTTATCTAATATATTTGTGCAAGATGGAAGCGAAGTTGTAAAAGAAAGTATTTTATAAAAATCAAACGGCCAAACTAATTTGAAGCTCATGGTTTTTGTCAAATTTAATAAATTTAATAAAACATAATTTCTCCGATCAAAATGCATATGTGAATTCGACTCAATTTAATAATAAATCTACCGTATAAAACTAATAAATAATCTGTTTTATTTCTAGAAACTAAAATAGGTTCAGTAGGCCCTATGACTAAAACTTACAAATAGTTTTGATCTTGTTTTGCATAATTAAATAGATGGAATAAATTAATATAGCCGAATCCTAATAAATTTCATTGAAGTATATACGTGGTGGATTGGTTTGACCAAAGAGTTTGCATATTTTATAATTATATTTCTAAGAATGCACTGTGAGGAGACCAAAAAACAGAACTTACAAAACAACCATATTCCAAACAAATGCAGCTAATCCAAAATATGCGTTTGTGTCGCTGAGTTGTGTTGTTGTGGCACATATGTATGTGTATATGTATATATTCAATACTTGAGCTTAAATGTGCACTTGTCAAACTGAGTTCACTTCACAATTGCAGGCACTTGGCCATTATAATAATATACGAATGCCGTCGCAATGGCGCTAACACACAATTGTATTTGTATCTGTATCTATCTGCAGCGAATAGCAGATACGCAGCAGCAATAACCGTCGCTAGTTTGTTCGGCTTGAGCACGCAATGACAACGGCGACGACGACGACAACAATGACGATGACGCTGACGCTGGCGATGGAGACGACCTTTCACTGTGGCAACCTGTGCGCGCACTCTGCTCTGTGCAGCAGGGCAAAATTTACGTATCTGCCACAGAAAAAAAAAAAATACAACAAAAACAAAAACAAAAACGAAAAACGAAAAAACAAATACAATAAATAGAAATGAACATAAACTTCGGGGCTGAAGACAAAAACGACGCTGGCAAAGTTTTGTCAACAATGAAATGATATTATGGCTGGCTCCACCTACAAATACCAACAACAACAACAACAATAACAGCAGCAGCCACACAACAACAAGCTGCTGAGAGGCGCACAAAGAAACGAGCGGATAGAACGACCGGACAGATGAACGAGCACGGACGGACCCATTGTACACCCGCATAAATTTGGCAACAAAAAAAAAAGAAGAAAAACAAAAAAAAAACGAAAAACTCCACAAACGTCGACGTCGGCGCATAATCATCAAGCAGCCAACAACTCCACAGAGCAATAGGGAGCTGCACAGCTGCCGTTTCTCGTATGCCCGTTGCAAATGTATCCGTCAGATACTCGTATCACATTGTTTTGCGTGTGTATGTGTGAGCGCTGCCAGTTCCAAGACCATTCCAGTCGCTTGTGATTGGTCGGATAAATTGCTGGCACACACACACACAGCTCTCTGGAGTGTGGCAAGCGTGTGTATTGCTGTCATTGCTCATTATCTCTGTATATGTGTGTGTGTGTGTGTGTGTATCTGAGAGTTATCAAGTACGCTAAGGGTTTGCTGAGCATCTCGTGTGCGATGAGACTGTATATACGACGATAATTATCATAAAACACTAAATTACTCATGCTATTATGCGAGCTTATCAGTCATTTTCTCATTTTCTGTATGCTTTTTGGCTAGCTTTAATAACACTTGCAAGAACATATTTATTTCATAATTAATCAATAAGTGATTAAAGTTGTATTTTGCAGACTAAACATTTAACTTGGAGTATTCCTGCTTAAGTCAAGATATTACATTAAAGTAACACATTCACAAGATGAAAAGTTAATATAAATCTGAGAATTTACATATTTATTTATAGGTAATTCTACTTCAATAATGATAAACATAGCTTTGAACCAAATTGTTTTTATTATAGTTCAAGTTTAACTTAGTTTTTTTTAAATATACTCTATACTTTATAACCTCTTAGAGCGTGCCA